CATACTCTTCTCATAAAGGGTGAGAAGACAAAAGCAAAGAAGCAGCGCACCCAGAAATGACAGCAAGAAAGTCACATTTTTTTAAACCAAAAATCTTCCAAACTCCAGATAAAGTTCTTCTTTTGGTCGGTCACTATAAGTCATTATAATGCAAGCCTCTTTTCAACATTTGTCTAGTCTGTTCTTGCTATTGAAGATGCTTGTGCTATAACACAAGCTAACACTCTGCAGCATGCTGTTTGAGAGCGATTTTTTTATACATCTTATAAGAAAACTTCGTTGTGGACTATTAACTGTTCTATTAATTTTGATTAGAACCATATGTAAAAGAAGTACACAGTTCAGAACAACAACATTATGACCACCTAGCAGCAAGTAGCAACTAACTAATCTGGATGAGCAGGTTGCAGCTAGTGGTTAGAAGAAACCACTGCAGATGCTTCTTTCAGTATGACTGCAGGATTGCATTTTCAAGCAACACCAAACTGTAATTTCTACCATATATAGGAGTCCCCATCAAGTCATTTAAACACATACCTTGGCACAGTACCGGTGGACCATAAAAGCTTATATCCTTCCACATGCAAGCCAAATGTAGACATCATGCATCATCATGCTGTTTATTCAACAAAGACTACTATTATAGAATGGATGAAAGGTGAAATGAAGGAAAATTAACCAGGGTTTTTCACGATGATCATGATTTGCTAATCAACTTTTTCATTTGTAATAAACAGAAACTCGATAAGCCATTCTTAGAATTTCTGCACTTGTAAGCATTCATGCACAATCTATAAAATCTAACATTCTACCACATACACATTACTGTGGTCATAATCTTTATCAATAACAATAAGAAAGTAGCAAATACGCTCAAAAATTATTTGTTAAATTGACTAAAGTGAAATCATATTTAAACTAAATCACTAACACAACAGCAATATTTTTAATTTGTGTGTTATCTTAGGTTAACTTTAGTACACATAATGACATAAATCCTTGGAACAGTTCTGTGTGGGCTGATTTAATAAAAAAATGATGATCTGTAACATCTCCAAACAAATATATGAGCAAAGATCAAATAGGCAAAACAGTGTAAAGACATGTAGAAGAAAAGCTCAGCAGCAGTCTAATCAGACCCCTCCAACACTCACGCAGTTGATCAATGAAAGACCTGGGGCCGCCAGCCTGCGCTATATTACACACCAAACTTCATATTCATTCATTGATTTTACTTTTCATAATAGTATATCACTGAACTCCAATGGGAGCAAAATATGGAGGCCAGGGCTTAGGTCAACTCTCAAATGGACGCCTGGACGAATGTTTGCACAATATTGATGGGGCACGCAGAAAGAAATGACTAAATACCTGGATCAATAGCTAGTTTCCCTAGCTACGACAGGTTATTCTAGATGGAAATATATAAATACCTCTTTATGGCTACTGGAGAAGTCCTAACGAGCAATGCTAAATGCGCACCCTTAAGGTAAACACTTTGATTAGCCAAGGCCAGAGGTGACAAGAGGGGTCTGCTAATGCTAGGATGCCACACTTACAATGGCCTGAGGATGTTAACACACACAGGGCCCTGATAAAGAGACCGTGTATATGACAGGTCAAGCTCTGGGCAAAGAGCCCTGACCATCCTATTTATTTCTGATGTTTATGGACCCTGGCTTCACCATTCGCAGTCATGTTCGACCAATGAATGTCATTAATAATTGAAATTTCTTTTTTCACACTAATCAGAACCAGAAGTGGGAAAGTCTTTGGCCTAATAAAACACATTTGCACACAGACTTCTTAAAACAAAGTTAAGTACACAGACATCTTTATAATCAAACCAGGCGGACATATCCTGCTGCTGCTGCTGCAGCCCTGTTTTTATTTACTGCACAACCAAATTACTGAGAACAACACCCAACCTTACAGCTTTACCAGCTCCACAGTGTCCAGTGGGGCCATAAAGAGGGTGGAGCCACATCACTGCCTGCTCCTTAATTAAACCAAAGCTGTTAGGTTCATTTGCCTCTTTTTTACACACATTGAATTAACCAGTCCATCGTTGAAGACCTCCCAGACCCCATCCCTACTTGCCCCTAAATCATTGGGTGAACGGTCCAGTGGGTCCCTGCTGGACATGCAGCAGCCGCCCAACGGCAAGGCCAGCACAGGGCATGTGGCAGATCGACACCTAGCCAGCGATAAGTAATTCTGTAGGGGATTAGCAGCATGATAGCCTGATCAATACTGTGTGCTCAGGCCATTAGGAATGCAGCGAGGAAATGACCCCCTCTGGTAATAAAGCAGGCATCTGGGTTCTCCTTCATTTGCCAGCTCCATTAGTGTAATGGTATCATTATCTGCCACAGCCGTATTTTTCTGCGCCTTGGCTTTTCCACAGCTCGACCAGCGGGGGTCTGATGAAGCAGTGAGAGCCCCCATACTGACTGTTCCCCTTTCTACCATTCTACACAGGACCTAGGTGTAAATCTAGCTCTGCTGGAGCTTATGTGCTACCCTGCCTTAGGTATCCATACCCATGTTTTATGTCAGTACCTAACACTATTTCTCCATTATTGGCTCATTAATAGAGCAAGCAGCATGTAGCTTGGGTTTAGAGGGAGAAAAAGATGGCCGGCAGAGCGCAAAGCTGCTGAATGCGCTGAATCTGACACCCCCCTCTTGCTAAAACACCAGGCTTGACATGACAGGACGTCGGCATTAGTTGCCATAAATCGTTTCCTTTACACTAATTCACCAGCTAACATTTTGTGGGGGAAAATTGATTAACCATGTCTGGATGTGTGGCCACATAATCAGCTTTTACTTCAGTAGATGTTAATTTAACAGAATCGCCAAGGGAAACACAAACCATTTTAATGGGTGTTTAGAAATTAAATACCCTAAACAGCTTGCACTAGGTGCCACAACCAGAACAAACCAATGAGGCTGATCTAAGCAATGGGCTGGTTTGAGCCCAGGACCTCACAACATCTGGTGACCCTGTGTGAACATTACTTAGCCTGCTGCTCACGCACACAGACACACTTCCTGTTTCACCACAGCACTTAATACTTGTCATCGCTGTCCAAATGGCAAGCTTGCATCAAAGACAACATTAGAACATCGGGTTAAGGGACAGGGTCGGTGCTGTTTTCACACTTGCCAGGGCATGAGTGGAAATTTATCCTGTGATGACAACACTGATAAAACATACTTAAAAGTTTTAAATTCATTAGCGTACTAGAGGTTAAACATTAGTATGATGAGAAAATTCAAGAAATTGTAGCTACTTGACAACCTAAGACAAAGTACAAATCTATAAAAACTTTTTTTTTCTGATACAAACAAAATGAAATCTGATGAGTGAGTGTGTTCACTAGCCTGAATGATGAAAAACCTAAATAAATGACATAAATGTGAATTGGTGTGACTAGGTGGGGTTAATTCCCCTCGGGGACTCAGACAAATGTTCTCTTTCATTTAAAAAAAGATATATAGAAAGAAGCCATGGCACCCCACCTGTCTATGCTATACTGACTTGTTGTGATGGGATTTTCTGAGGAGACTGTGTATTCATTTGGCACTAATCTGTTGGGGCTTGCATTCCACAACTCGGAATAACAGTGCACCCATCACAGTACATCTCTCACTTTGGGCACTATTGCAGACACACTCATTTACTAGATAAGACAACCATCATATCCAAGGTATTAGTTAACATAATAACTGTGTCTTTATACAACCAGTGATATTGTGAAAACCGTTCAAAACGCACGCAGCTTTCGCTTTGGCCGCTGTACAGTTTTAAAGAAATTTTGCAGTTACTAATTCTCTCGCTCATCCTTTTATTTATCTAAGGAGAAAGCCAGCTAAGCCATTAGGTCTGTGCAGTACTGCCTGAGGGCCAACTAGAATGAGTTCTCTCTCTGAGCCGCTCATCTGGCTGCCATGGCTGCTTTCATAAACAGGAGGAACCACGTCCTACATAGTTTCACTGCTGTCTAACATGATCCAAACACATGCGCCACAGCAGACGGCGTCCAAGTCTGGAGATATGAGAAGAAACAGACAGGCAGATAGGCAGATGCTAAGAGAAATGACTGTGATGAAGCAGCCCTGGATGCCTAGTGCACAGCAGTTTCCTCTCTTCCATTAGAATGTCCACAAATTGCAAAGTTCCAGCTTTTACAAAGCTCGACACATTAGCACACACAACACATAGGTACCCATCTCTGCTCACATCATGTGACCCTTATTTAAATCCTATTTTTTTCAGTATCAGGTTCTACAGCTGGCACATTAGCACAGGTTGTTCTTTAACAACAGCAGTGGCAACATTAGCCAATAGGTTATCATTTCTACTGTATGTCAGAGCACAAACCATTATCCACTGCATCTGTAGTAAAGCCTGAAGCAGCTGGAGACTGCTGGCCTGGCAGCATGCCAAATCCCGGCTACACTTCACACTAACTTTACCTTTTGTTTTTACTGTTACACTGAGCTGCACAGCTGCTGATGCCATACAAGTGATTCATTGTTTATTCTTCACACCAGAATAACATCCCAACTTGAGCCTCGACTCTGTCTTTTGTTTGTTTTAATTTAAAAAAATGATATCTATGCATTAAACTAGTTGCAATGTCCACTGTTTTTTCATAATTGTGTAGCCTGCTGTAATTCATATCGTATTTCAACTTGATGTAGGATGCTGTCGAGGCGTTTCTCTGCAACCTCTATTTTCTCATCGGCAGTGTCTCTACGTGGCAAAACACCATTTTAACGTAACTGTAATTCTTCATTGTGGCAGACTGGTGGGGGAAAAAATGGAAAACACAATAAAGGAAACAGGCAAGGTGAAGTATGCGCTGACATTCCCGGCTTTCTAGCCTTCAAAATGCAGCCAGCAGCATCACATACGGAGCATTAGATATTCAAAGAGCGACAGGGCTTAGAAATATGCCAGACCTAACGGAGAAAAACGCTATCAATACCTTTCTTCTCTTCTCCCCCTCACTGTCACCCGATCTTTTCATGTTCCTGGAGTTGTGTTTACACTGCCTCGCTTTCATTAGGGGCGACGTCGGTCGTTGTAGTGCACGAATAAACTGCATATCCCGCTAATTTCGTGCCAGGAAGAGCGTCTGCAAGTGAAGCCGTGTATTTCATTTCTACGAGACGCCAGTCTTCAATTTCTCCAGTTTAAAATGAGTTTCCGTGGAGAAATTGTTGGGGGAGATTTTAAAAGCGTAACACTTAGAACTACAATTCCCAGCTCGAGCGTGAGCTCGCGGCGGAAGCAGATTCGGCACGCTCAAGACTTTGCACTACGCAGGTGTGGCGCAGGTACAGATCTATATATTGCACATAAGCCGGTCAGCATGGCTTTTAAATCGGTGTTTTAAGCCCCTAAAATGGCTGTGGCATTTAGAGGAAAAATGTGAGAGACATAATTTAAAGCGAAAGCAAAAGTCACAGACCTATTCGGCAATTTTCAGTAGTAGTATTGCTTGTACTAGAGTCGAAATGTCGTTTTTAATGAATTTATTGCTTACCGAGTTTTTTCTATTATTGATATCATTATTTAAAAGTCTCAACAGAATCTTAAGGTCTTTATTAAGGCTATTGCATGTACTTTCCTCATTTTTTAAATCAAGCACAGTGCCACTTTCATCTTCGATACGTGTAAAAATAGCAATCATGCTTTGAACGGGCTCCACTTCAAGTCTAGCCAACTTTCTTTCAACTCTTGCATGCGTCTCAAATCCAGGTGCTTTTTTTCCTGCCGGTGTGGGCCTTTACCACGTCAGCCCTTTTCAACTCGCCAGCAATCATGAAAGTGCACCGTAAACGCACAGCGTCTGTGTGGCTGCCTTTGTATATCACCTACAGTTGCCTTTCAAGAGTTGAACCAGATTGCTCGTAACATAGTTTGAATAGTGCTGAAATATGTTCTGTCCATTGTTCCTATCAAAGCACACGTGAAATACATGAGAAAGTTTCACGGATGAAGTGGCTTTGGCGGCGGGAGGGCAGTGCAGGGGCGGATTGCAAAGGTCTGAAACACCTGCTACACATTACCATTACAGACTTTGATCAGTGTCTTCATTAGTTTCCTTTGTAATCTCTTTTCTTTTATGGTAGAGCTGACCCAAGTGAACCGGTACGATGATTTAACACACATGTTTCTTTCACCTGTCTTGTAAAATACTCAAAAGCTGTCCCACTTTCAAAGATGCCACACTCTCTTACTAATAATCGGTGGGGGAGTTCTTTTGATTCCTATTTATAACCTACATTTCCTCTTCTATGGCCTGGTCTTGTAATGGGGAAAATGTCTGAAAAATATCCTTGGAACCATTTTGCGAAAACTAGATCCATGTGCATGCATGTATACGATTTTTTTAAACATATGTCAGACTAGAGTCTTTTTTTTATAGCTACTTGCATGGAAAAAAATCTTACGGCACTGTAAATAATTTCTTTTAGATCTTACAATGTCAAAACCTGCCTACATCCAACCTCCATCACCCCATTCCATCATTAAACTATGTCCCTTTTATGTGTCAAACTATCATTCACTAATTCCCACTGTCAGTCATCTTTATGGTTTACATTTTAAAAAAGTAAAGTTTTTCTGCTTGACATTTTTGGCTTACTTTGTCAGCTCTTTTGGCTCTTTGAATGAACATAATGTATAGGGCCATTAATGGCAGACAGACCCCCATGCCTTGCCCAATAATTCCCAGAGAAGCTTTTTTTTATTACTGTTGGCTTATTGGTGGATTGGTGTCAGATTCATTGTGACTTAAGAATTATACTCCATGCGTATGGTGCATCCTATCAAGTTGTTTATTAAAGGTATCATATGGTGAGATCCACTGTGTTGACACCTAGGGTCAGGAGTAGCTTGCTCTTAAAGTTCTGCCTGTTAGTGAGTGCGAAAATCACAAATAAACACCTTGTCTTGTTTCTACCAATTTCTGAACACAATAGGCTGCAGTTTTGTAGTTGGGGGGGCAAAGACTGTATATTAAAGACAGATATGACTTTTAGTCTCAAAACTGTGGAATTGTTCAAATTGACATCAAAAATCAGAATTTCCTACTTCCTGGAATGGCTCATCGTGTCTTGGAAAGGTAGACTCTCCCCACCAACCCTGACTTAACAATCCAAGATGGCATCCGTGCATGTAAACATTAGTAACACTCTGAAAGTTGCAATCTGTACTACTGTTGTTATGCATTTGTGACTTGCAATTTAAGTCCTTACCAAACTTCTCAGTTCTTAATGAGGATATACAGAAGATCTTTGTTTTGCTACTTAAGTAATATCACAAAGATAGCACCAAAGTTAACAAAAACCAGCCCAAAGAAAAAAGTAATCTAAATTTTGCTATGTAAAATACAAGGAACCGATTCATCGCTGGGTTTCTGTAACATTAAATATCCAACTTTGTTCATTTAAGTGGGGGCAACATGTCGTCCCATTAAGCATTTTGGGGCTTTTACTACTAGCTTTATAGTAACATGCCTTTGCAAATGCTTAGCAATACTTGATACCATACTTACTCAACTTGCAACACATTCAAAGTAGTATGCATTTTTCCACTACTCAAAACGTACTCTGCTCTGCCATTTTCGTCTTTCCTTCTGGACACACTGATTTCAGGTGACTCCTGCACAAGTGAACCTAAAATGCATTTGTGTGTTTGTTTTTTTTCCATCCATCTGGGTCTGAATATTGAAGGCAGCAATCCAAGGAAAGATGCCCAGACCTCCCTCTTCCTAGCCACTGCATCCAGCTTTTACAGGGGGCTACTGAGGCATTTCCAAGCCAGCCAAATTACATAATCTCTCCAGCGTGTTCTACGTTTGCCCTACATTGAACATGCACAAAACAACTCGCCTAGGAGACGTCCAAAAGGCTTTCTTGTCAGATGCCCAAACAACCTCAACTGGTTCCTTTCCATGTAGAAGAGTGACTAAACTTATCACCCAGACATTATTCACAGGAAGCCACTTGACTATGTGATCTTATTTTTTTGTGATTACCCATAGTTTATGGCGAGGGTAAAAATGTAGATTGATCATCTCTCCTCACGATGATAGAGTGGAATAGCATCTGCAAATTCAGCGTCAATCCAGCTGCCAATCTCTCACTTAACTCTCCCATAACTCGAACACAGTTTTCTGACATATCTGAAAGCCTCCACTTGGGGCAGTGACCTCTCCCCAGCATGGAGTTGGCAATCCAAACCTTTCCAGCCAAGAACCAGGCCTCAGACTCATAGGTGCTTATTGTCACCCCAACACAAATACTAATATAATTCTTTGATTACTGACTGTTAGATGGCTCAAACAGCGACTGTACTCTACCAATGACCAATTATCACTGCAAGAATATTTGAAAATGGCTGAAGAGGTCAAATACTGGCTGCACAATGACCTGTATAGCTACAGAGGCCAAGGCAGAACATGGAAACAACAGTAACCTTATCAGCAGCAAATCTGTTTATAAGGATTCTGCCCAAAGTTAGCCTTACAGTTTCAATTTTAGCTGATATCCTGACTAACCGCTATCTCATGGTCAGCAAGTTTAACAAGTGCCATATGACCTTTGTAAATAAGAGCATGTGCAGGTGTAACTCAATAGATACTCAACTCATCTAAATAGTTGAGGTTTTCATTTCTGAGCATGTAGTTTAATAGCAGATCACGGCTAGAAAGGACATGCAAACATTACATGATGTCATATTTTTGTACACTTAAAAAATGTCTCTTACTGGCACTGTTCACTTTCAAAACATAAATGATGAATATTTTTTTTATTGAATGAAGATCACTTTTTGGTGTCCACCTCAGGGCATTCACACTAATTTGGACATACCTTCAGTTGTACTATCATTCAGATGTTCTCAATATCAGTCGTTGTGATTTAGACAGAGTGGAAATTTCTCTGGCTTTTTTAGTTTGGTGGTCAGGTTTTAGGATCTGTGAGCAATCATAATGTACAGACTCTTAACAAAAAGACAAGCCAATTACCTTCCTCAACAATGCCTGTCATTTGTTCTACAAAGAATCAGGCTCTAAAGCAGACACCCCTCCACTTATGTCTGACCTGTGGGGTTCAACATAAGGCAAGATCACCACTGTACACTCTTTGATGTGGTATCATGTGGAATGAAGGGGGGAAAACGCTTTGAACTTCTTCTATCATCATATACCCCTCTTTACTGATCTGGCCAATGTGTTTGCACTCACAATGGGGGTATGTTTTCTGTTATTATGCATTGCATCAGCTCCGGATGACCCTTCAACAAGCTTTTCTTTTTGTGATAAAACTAACATCTAAAAAAGCTGAGGATGAATAAACGATGAGGACAATGCAATGCCAGACTGTACTAAAGACAGAGACTATTGTGGTGGGCCTGTATTAAAACCAGAGCCCACAGCCCTGCAATCATCTCTTCCCCTGACTTCAAACTATTGTATGCCCTAAAAAAATCAGAAATACAATGGACATGCCTCTTTCTGAGTAATAATATTTTTCCGTTGCAGGAGATTCGATGGTCCACCTAGATTTTATTATTGCGTTATCAAGTTGTGGTTTCTGTGTGAAAGAGAGGAAGCAAACTACTGGAAAAAATGAAAACAACACAGTCAAGCATTGTCCTGCACCACACAGGACCTCTGCTGAAGGTACTTTTAAAAATTGTAAACAACATTTTTCACTCACCACAACTTCAACTAGGGACTGTCCTCAGCATTGTTCTGCCTCCACGAAGACAAGCTCATTTTTGATTTTTATTTATATCGAATGAACATATGGAGCAAGTATGTGCCTTCTCCGCTTGCTAACCTTAGCCTTAGGAAACTGTTATTTGTCAGTGCTGTAAAGCAGATTGCTGCCCAGTGGTTTCAATTTACATCAAAGGGCTTTTCACAGGCAGTAATAGTTATATCAAAACCTGAAATGTATTATTTAGGTTATGTGCTGGATTCCTACAAATGATTATATCCTTGTTCTGAGTAGGGCATTTTTTTTCCTTCTTTTTTTTTTTTGCTGACTTTTTCCATTCCAGATACTCCACCACTTTTGACTGGTTTCTTTGAACCACCCCCACATCACTCCTGTACAGTCTCTTTGTAGCACCAGGGTACCTGTGTGGCTAACACCCGGTGGCCTATTAGTTACAGGACGTAAAAAGTGTCTCTAAATAGCAAGGGGAAAATTCTGTGTAGATTTTCCAAAGTCTGTAATGTGTAGTGGTTACATTTCCACCAGAGCCACCATTCATTCTTAT